ACTTGTCACGACCCTAAACCCGAACCCGGTCGTGATGGCGGCTCTCGTGAAGACAAGGCCAGCCGACACATTCCCAATTCATTTTTAAGTAGTTAAGATAATGCAAGTAAGTCTTAAACATAATAAATATCCCAAATAGATAAGGTTAAACAGTACAGTTCCGGAAAATAAAACCAATACATCCCGACATCGGGGTGTCACTAGTCATGAGCATCTATCAGTATACTACAAGTTTGAAGCGTCTACAAAGCTATTACAGAATCACTAACAAGAGAAAGGAAATGGGATAAAGGGGGAGAAGCACGGGGCTGCGAACGCCAAGCAGCTACCTCGTGAACTTCAAAATCTATCGGGAGCTCTCAACCCTCGCAAGCAGGATCAGCAACGCCTGAATCTGCACACGGGGTGCAGGGAGTAAAGTGAGTACTCCAACTCAGTGAGTAATAATCATAAATAAAGACTGAAAAATATGAAATCACGTAAGGCACATTACAGGCTATAATGAAGCAGTAAAATCCAGTAAAAATAGTGAATCAATGAAGATATGTAAAGTCATTTTAGTTCAGTTTAAACTTCATGAAATGCCTTTTTAACAATTAAGCAGGTAAATGACAGGCGACTAGGAAAGATAAACACATAAAGGATCGTCCCTCGGGCAATATCATAGAACAACACCAGCCCTTCGGGCTATATCTCACATCACAATGGGTACCCGCGCTCACTGGGGGTGTGCAGACTCTTGGAGGGGCCCCTTACGACCCAAGCGCAATATCCAGCCATCTTGTGGCATCATCACTAGGCTTTCGGCCTCATATCAACAAACCACCTCGTAGCGTACAAATCTCAAGCCCTCGGCCTCATAATCATAATCAGGTGTTTCCTCACAACATAGGCCCTCAGCCTTACTCAGTCAAAAACCTCACAAGCCACTCGGGCAACAGTAAAACATGATGTTCAGCCCAAAATATCATTTAAAACATCATTTAAGTGTTAAAGCAGAGTAAACATGACTGAGTTATGAAAATAGTAGAATATAGCATGACCGAGTTCAAGTATAAAGTCAAAACAATGAGGAAATATCAATAAAAATCCCCTAAGGGTTCAAATAGTTGGCATGAGGAGGCCCAAATATGACATTCAGTCCAAAACATGATGATAACAAACAGTTTTCAATGAAATACGCGGTAAAACAATCATTCTGGATGGACTAAGTCACAATCCCCAATAGTGCCCGACCCCACGTTCGTTATCTAGCGTGTGTGTCACCTTAATATAGCACAACGATGTGCGATCTGAGGTTTCATACCCTCTGGACAATATTTACAATCATTACTCACCTCAATCTGGTTCAAACTCTAGCTCGCGACGCCTTTGCCCCTCGAATCAGCCTCCACTTGCATCGAATCTATCCAAAAATCAGAATCACGATGTCAAAATATATTAAGGGAACGAATCCCGAGCGAAGATAATCAGTTTAGAGCATAAATCCCGAAATTACCAAAACTTGACCCCCTGACCCACTTCTCGGAATTCGATAAAATTTACATCAATAGATTTCTTATCTCCCCACGAGTTCATACATATCAAAAGTACAAAAATTCTACCACAAATGGTCCCTCAAATCCTCAAGTCTAGATCTCCAATACCAAGCCCTAGTTTCCCCAATTTTAACCCTTAAATTCCATTACTTACAGCTCTAATCTGTGAAATAATACCATAGGAACGACTTTTAGGTCCAAAATCCTTACCTCAATGAAGTTCCCTTGAAATCCTTCTTCAAATCGCCAAAAAAGCTCCAAAAACCGACTTAAAAATGGTGGAATAGCTCAAAAATCGCGAAGGAATGAATTTATATATTCTGGCCCAGGCATTTCGCATCTGCGGCCCCCTCTACCGCTTCTGAGGTACCGCTTTTGCGGTCCAAGATGCCGCTTCTACGGTTTCACTTATTCCCCAGCTTCCGCATTTGCGATGCACCTTCCGCACCTGCGCCAACGCAGGTGCGGCTTCTCAGCCGCTTCTGCGGCTCCAACCTTCCTAGCCCCTTCCGTTTCTGCAACTCCTAAATCGCTTCTGTGAGGCTGCACCTGCGGTACCCTAGCCGCAGGTGCGATTATGACAGTAAATTCCACACTTCAGTTGCCAAACCAAATTTTCAAACTCTCCGTCAACCATCCGAAATTACCCCGAGGCCCCCCGGACCTCAACCAAAAGCATAAACATATCTCATAACCTTATTCAAACTCGTACCAATATTCAAAACACTAAAAACAACATCGAATTAACCAAAACACATCGGATTCAAGCCTAAGTTTTCAAAATCTTCCGAATTATGCTTTTGATCAAAATGTATACCAAACCACGTCCGAATGACCTGAAATTTTGCACACACATCCCAAATGACCCAACGGAAGTACTGCAACTCCTAGAAATCAATTCTGACCCCTATATCAAAATCTCACCTACCAACCGGAAAATGCCCAAAAATTCAATTCCGCCAATTCAAGCTTAAATCTACTCCGGACCTCCAAAACACATTCCGATCACGCTCCTAAGTCTCAAATCACCTCCTGAAGCTATCCGAACCATCGGAACTCACATCCGATCCCTCTAACTCATAAGTCAACATCCGGTTGATTTTTCCAACTTAAGCTTCCTCAAAAGAGACTAAGTATCTCAAACCTTACCAAATCCGTTCCGAACCCGAGCCAACCAACTCGATCACACATAGAACCAATAAACAAAGCAATAAGAAGCAGAAATAGGGGAAACGGAGCGGTAACTCGTGAGACAACTGGCCGGGTCGTCACATTATAATAGTCTCTAAGTTCACATAAAATCTTTAAAAGTATGTCTTTGTTTAAGACTTAAACTCTAAGCAATAAAATTCTTGATTTTATTTATAAAGCTACATAAAGCCACACCAACATTGTTCGTTTAAGCCGAAACTATTCAACAAACAACAACAATCATTGATGGACTCGATCAAATCCACACACGGATTAAAGCAAACAACAACACCTTAATAAATTAATAAGATTCTCACAAACATCATAAACAACAGACACAAGAGTTCGATCACGATTCTCTTATTAACAGTGAATACCGTTAATATTGTCAAGTAAATTTGATCAACTATTACTGTAACATTTATTCTACGCAGATTTTCTGTCCAATCTTTTCAGTCAAAGTCTAAGAATCAAATAAATCTTATGCTCTGATACCAATGAAAGAATAAATCGTGGAGCGAGAACAACGAATTGTGTGCCTATTTGACGCAGCGAAGATCGTTGAACTCACCACCAAAAAAATTACTCCAAGTCGGACTTCATTTCACTAGGAAACGAAGTTTATTCTTCACGAGTTAAATGTCTCATCATCTTTTGTGTGTATTTAGAGATAATCCGAAGAGGGAGGAGTGATTTTTCTTTTCTGAACCTCTTTTTATTAACCGTGATTATGGTAACCTCCTTAAAATCTATATCTTATAAATAGGTATTGGACTGGGTCAGCCCACATAAAGCGACCTACAATCCAATATTCAGCCATTACTCTTTTGACATATAATTACATGCATTTAGTGATAATCCAAATTCAAATATTAGTATTTGCATAAAAATTACGGATTTCAAACTTGTGGTACTGCTTAATAATTTTTGTTCTATTAGCTTTTTGATAATTTTTCGGCAAAAAATCGTTTATATGCATAATCTACGCATCATTATTGAACTCATAAGTTAAAAATTTGACACAAATTGACCAGAGAGAGAGCATAGGAAAATTTCAGAAAATGACTCCGCTCCTTCCTCATGCTAGGTTCAAGAAATTAAAGAAAAAATTATTCTTGAGGAAAATATTTTTTAAAAGATTTAAATCAAATTGAAAATGTTATTCTCCATACCACTCCCTAAATATATAGAAAAGTGTCAGATTTTTTTTTAGATGAATAAGAATTTGTAGTTAATTGAACTGATAAAAGGAGTATAAATAAATTAGGCAAAATAGCCTCTGGGTCACTTAAACTTATACCCATTTATCAATCCGATAAAATGAACTTATAAGTTTGACTGACTAACACAATCATATTCTTAACCTATTATTGTTTGACATGTGTAATTTGTAGGCCTCAATCTCTTTTTAATAATTTATTTAAAAAATTAAAACCTTTTCCTTTCTTTTCTTCTTCTTCACCAGTACCAGCACTACATGTTTCATCCATCAATGAACACAGCACACCACCCTCATCCACTCTAAAATCCCCAAATCAATAATGAACATCATCCTTCGTACTCTAAAACTCCCAATTGAATAAAAAAGTAAAAAGGACACAAACAAAATCAGTAAAATCTAAAAACTCCAGACGAATCAGTAAAAAGATAAAATCTTTTATTATCTTCTCCAAAATTATCTTTGAAAATTCCCAACATCCTCCAATTCTAATTCTACTTCTTCCTTTTACGTTTTCTAAACAGAAATTTTAGAGAGAGATTCAAAATCTCTGAAAATTTCAATTGAAATTTTGTTCTTTAATTTCTTTTAACCAGCATTTTCCTCTTTGAATTGTGGTCATGTCAGATTTGTTAAAAAGTAGTTGGGGGGGAGGGGAGGGAGGAGAATGAAGAAAGAGGAGAATGGAGGGCATGGGGCGGTGAGAGTTTTCAGCTTTTGTAATTTCTTTTTTGTTTTTCCTTTTTATTTGCTTTCTTTTCTGATTTTAACATTTTTATAATTAAAACTGTTATATTCATGCGCCTCTGTATCGTGATTTGCACGTATTTGGGCCACATCATTTAAATCGTTTGTAAATATTTAAATGAGAAACTTATAAATTTATTTATCGGACTAACAAATTGGTATAAATTTAAGTGGTCCAGAGACTATTTTGTCAATAAATTATAAGTGTGCTGAGTTAGTGAAGTAAAAGAAAGCTAGCAATTTTAATAAATATAATCGACTAAAATGACAGAACTAGAGAGAAAATAAAATTTTGTCTGAATTGAGGTATAGTATGGTTATTTTACACCTATGCTCTTAACGGCGGAGTTTGACTGACATCTGGACTAAAAATTTGGGGGAAAACGATTTTCGCCTATAGAACAGAAAAGGGAGAAAAACTCACCCAGACCCATCTTTTCACTCAAAAGAGCTAAGTCAGTAAAAATGTCTGCTCTTCGACATGCAGCTTTCAGGGGCTGCAGGTTTTTGCTTGAGGCAGCAAAAGCCACAACCCGATCTCCCAAAGCAGCATCTTCTTCTGCTTCCAAGAATAAGGCTGCTGCTACAACCTCGAAATCGTCGACATCAGCAGGGAAGCAGGGTCGTTCTCCTTCGGCTCGACCCACTGGTCTTCTTAAGGTAACCCCTGTTTCGCCGACACTTCATAGCTTTCTTGGAGTTTCTGAGACTTCTCGCGGCGATGCTGTCAAGAAAATCTGGGATTACATCAAACTCCACAATCTTCAGGTACCCTTTTCTCTCTAGATATACTATTTGAGTATATTTACTCTTCGAATAATTCTAGAATTTATATGGTGATGTTTGTCTAGACATATATTTTAGGAAAAGAAAGTTTTTTTTTACACATGGGTGAAATATATATATAGTACTACTAGTATAATTTTTCAAAAGTATCAGTGGTGTTCAACATGCTATGTCAATTCCTGTAAGACAAGCTGTTAAGTTTACTGAGAAGGTTAAGATTAAAGAGTTTCCAGACGTAGTAAAGTGTCTATCTTTTCGGAGCAGAAGAAGTGTCATATTAAATAGAAATGAAATGTACTAGTGTTACTCCCTCGGGGTATTGCAGTAATAATATTGCTGGTGTTGGAGCTAAAAGGTTGTTGTTTGGCCTCAAGAATGCTCCATTTGATATTACATTTTGGCACTCTTTTAGTTCCTCTAAGGATTTCAAATCTGTTGAATTTTGTGCTTTCTCCAATATGAAATGTGTGCATGGTGAGCCTCTAGGTTCATGATATCCTAACCTATTTGAACTTGAAGCATGAAAATACCTTTGGTTGTGCCCAGAAGGCAGTTTATTTCCCTTGGTAGCACTTAGGCATTGGAATAGTCTGAAGTAATATGACTTGCAAAGCAAGGTTGAGCAGCTACTGTCATCACCGATAGAAATAACACTATAGCTGTGTATATGCTGGTGAATGTATAACAATATTAAGCAGGGGCGAATTCGTAAGGGAGATTATGGGGCACGTGAACCCATGGTCTTTCCGCAAAATTAAATATTTTATGTACATATTTTAAAAAATTTGATATAGTATTAACTTTGGCAACCATGCTCCAAGAAGGCTGAATGATGCACTTGGTTAAAGGTTGAGTTATTTACCAATAGGAATAGAGATCAATTTCCACTTAATATATTTTTCCTCTGATGTTAAGACATGAAAACTCCAGGTCTCAGCTTCCGGTCATAAATTAGTTCAAGCCATGCTAGGACGAAGAAGAAACAAACAGGTCTAAAGAACAAAATAGATACTGAGTTGTGTCAAGTCTCCCATTGTTTTTTGTTAACTGGCTCAGAACATTTTTTGTCAGCCTTTCCCGGCCCATTATGAGAAATTCATTATCTACGGACTCATTGTTCTTTATTGCTGTTGATCTCATTATCTCCTGTCAACACTCGTTGAGAATCATTTTTTATAGACTTCACCTGGTTTAAATCTTCTTCTCTATCAATCGTGCTAGTTTAAACATTTCTTTATCCCCTTCTCGTGTTCCTAGCTTTTGATACATGGCATCTAGGGCTTCCCCTCCAGCTTTACTAATAGCCTTCTTAGCTTCGCTCATAGCTCTCTTATACTCTTAACTTGTTTTCTGTAATGAGAGTGGTCAAATAGGACTACTCTTTTTCTTTTCTTTGATAAGTGAATGGGAGATAAAGTCGCTACCTAGCAAATGCTTTAGATGACTCCATCCAAACCAGTCACAGAACTAATATTGAAAATTTGCATCTTTTGCCTCCAGATATCTATTCTATTGCTATGTGCATAATAAAGGGAAATGATGCTCAGAGTTCTCCAGAGGTTAATTGCTGATTGCTTTTCCCCATTGGAATAATATTTCTTCCGTCTTTATTCGACAAATAGCAAAGCATTTATTGCTTTTAGAGCTGTAGTACACATAGTACACAGACTCTTAGTATCATCTCTTGAAAATTCTCAATTTTCCTCTGCCTGCAGGACCCCATGAATAAGAGGGAAATCAATTGCGATCACAAGCTCAAAACAATATTTGGAGGGAAGGACAAAGTGGGGTTTCTAGAGATTTCCAAGTTGCTGTCTGCTCATTTCGTGAAGCCTAACTGAAGTAGTCGTCAAATCATCCATGCTCGACTCTTGATATTGTACATAAACTACTTTGCCTTCTTGACATTAAACTCTGATTTGCAATTTGTGTGCTTAGTTTTCTAGATGGACATCTTGTAAAAAGTAAAGTAGGAAGAAGCAGAAAGACTATTGGCTCTTTAACAATGTATGTTCATTTCTTACTTCAGTGAAATGTAATGAATGCTTTTCCTGTATTGTCCATTGCATACACAAGTGACAGTTAATGAAACATGATAACAAAGAATTTCAACAGCTCATAGAAAGTTATGACTTTCGTCAATCTCACTGCTGATTAAGATTGGAAAGCATAATAACAAGCAATCAAGCATAGGGGTAATTCATAACAGCCTTGAGGAAGATCTCATTAATTGGCTCACAATGTGATTACGAACAATGTTCTCCATTTGCCACAAATAATGCATTTGTCACAAATAATAGGGTAAATTTGCTTTATATTTACCATGAACTATACAGTCAGACAAGCAGGTGTCGGATCCATTGTTCGACAACAGCAGGAGAACCATACCATGGTCTAGTAGCATCATCAGAGCCAACAGGGGAATGGTAAACTCCATCCAGAGTGATATTAAGTGCACCTTTTAGATGAGCTGAGACTTCTGGCACAACTCCATCACCCCAGACATCTGCCTGGCCGCAAACCTGACAAATTATCAGATTGTTAGATTACTTAAATAACAGATATGTGCTCATGTGCTACTGAAACTAAATGATAGGAGTATATAGATTGGTAATTTGAGCAATATCAAACTCAAGGGCGCCTGTGGTATAAACCTGCTTGTAGCCTTGACCAACAAACCGTGCACGGAAAGTGGAAGCTGTTTCTGGATTTGTGTTGCTTACTGCAGCAACCTCTGACGTTGGCTGGTCAACACTAGCTTCCACTTCAGAACTGTATGTTGAACTTGAACCAAGGAAACGAGACCCTTGAATATACCTACACAAGTGAAATCCATTAAGTTTTTCTCAATAAGGCGTTAGGTTAAGAAATGATTCCTAATCACAATAGAGGCAAAAAATGTTAGGTGATTTCTTCTCATCTGCCTAAGCTTTGGTACCAGGTACTCGGTGGAATAGCCGAGGTACACGCAAACTAACCCGGACACCATCATTATAATAATTGCTTAGATAGACATCATCCATGTTATTTATCTCAATATTTTCTCCAATAGACAGCAAAAAGTTTAGATAGTGTTAGCTTATTTTGAATTATATACGACCTTGTTAATTTGATCTTCCGGGCAGTCTGTATGTCAATAAACAGATCAAGCAGGAAGCGATCCTCAAGCAAGTTAGTACTCATTCCCACGGTAAAGTGTTTGGTGTTTCATTCTTAAATGCATGCACAACTATTGGCATAATGTCATATTGCTTCATCTGCTGCTTATTGTAGTGTGCTGCCACTTTTTGCAAATCATATAGACTCAATCGACTCCTTCAACAGGCTATCCTATGGCATCAGAAAGAAAGACTGGAAAGTTCTATCAGCATTTTGATAGGAGCTTCCATAATTTTTCCAGTAACCACTTCTGTTATTATAGTTTTGCCATGTGAAAACGGTCTCTATGCTTGCTGGTTGCAATTAAACCACGATATGTCACATGTTATTAGGTTTTGAAGCATTAAAATTTATGCAGTAAATATACCCTCCCAAATAGGGTGGTTGAAAATTAAAGGAAACCTTTCCCAAATTAATTAAGCTAACAAAGATGGGGTCTAAAGATAGCTTACTATTGCAAAGCTCAATTGTAATGAGAGAAGAAACTCAAATACATCCTTTTTTGGATAACTAGAAACTTTAACATCATTAATACTGCCATATTTATATTGCAACTAAAGCAGACAGTTAAGTTTCTTCAACAATCCCCTTCACTATCATTGAACATTAAAAGAACTAAATGAAATGAATGTGTCATTGCAGTGAAAACATCATTGATCATTCACAAGAAGCACTAGAAATCAAGCACATGAACAGAACAACAAAATTTGATATTACCTCCCTGCTATACATACATATCTAAGTTGTGGAGAATAGACAGCTTTTGCACAATGCTCTTCAACGTAATACAAGAGGCCTCTTGTTTGATCAATTACTCCTGGCAAACCTTTAGGTGGTGGCCTAATGAAACCAAATAATATCAGTGTTAGGCTTATGCAGAACAAGCTCCCTAAGATATTCCATCTATTAAATCTAGTAGTAATAGCTGCATAGATACACCAGGTGACTATATTATAAATGAATAAATTTATACATACAGGTGGGGGGTTCCTAGCGTCAGTAACAAGGAAACATCTGAGAAGCCAAATTCCTGCAAATAGACACGTGCGAGCCATCCTCCAGCTGAATGCCCAATCAAAGTTAAACTTCCACTCCCACCTACAACAAATGTGGCCGGATTATGGGACTGCAACATGCCCTGTTAAGTAAAGAGGACTGTGTAGGTCAATCAAGGTTTAACGCTCATATTTATAGAATCTGTAAAAGAAAACACCAACAACTATTTTAGCTATAAGAAGTGCATAGAAAGCTGGAGTTTTAATCCTAGGAAAATGAAGTAGAGAAAAACAAGGACGTGGCAATAAGGTTAACCAAAATCAAGTATTTTCTTGGGGAGAAGTATGTTTGGACTTGTGGCTACCTTGAATTTGCAGATAGGATAGAGAATAGTGGCCTTATGTTCAATGTCAGAATGCGCAAATTTGGTCTAAGTCAGTGATCAAGTAGGAGAATATTTCCGTCTAAACAAACGGGAATGCCAGAATACATATCATGTTTGTATTAAGAGATGTACTATATACTACATAAATGAAATAACAAGACCATAACCAGTCTACAAGAAAGTTTAAGTTAATGATTATTAATTGCAGTTGCAGATGCAGCATATAGAAAGAGACAGTAAAATGACTTATCGTGACCATATCCACATGTTATTAGATTGAGTGAAATGTGTAGCCTAACAAGCTGGCCAAATTTAAGTAAACGAAAAATTTAAGATTAATAATAGAGAAAGCGAATTAAATGAAGAACCTTGAGCCAATTCTTTTGCTTCACTGACGGCTTCATCAATTCTTTTGAGGTACCTGGCCAAATTTTCTCCTTAATGTATAAGAGAATATGGCTTGATAGCTGCTAAGCATAAAATTTTGTAAGGATTATTACCAATCAAGCACTGGCCGAGGACGAAGAGTGCCACGCCAATAATTTGAGTCCAATAAACCAGCAGCATTCCTCAGCCAATCAATTCTTGAAACTTTTGCTATTGCTGTTGGTACTCCATAGCCTTTCAGTATAAGAGCCAACTTCTCATAGTCATTTGTATTGTTCCCTAACCCCTGAAGAAGATAACAAATGATATACCCAATTATCAGTTACCGCAAAAGGTATCTCCTCACCCATGGCTCAAGTCTGAATAATACTCTGCAACCAGTCCCTCCCCAGGGGCGAAGCTACACTTTGATAAGGGACCACCCTTCGTAAGAAAATTATACTGCATATATATGTAAAATATTAGGTTTTAAACGCATATAACATATATTGAACACCCTTTGTCGGTTTGAAGACCATGAGAAAATTCCTGGCTCGCCAGTGCTCCTCACATTAAAGGAATAAAAAGAATCCCAGAAGGCTGATATAGAACAAATTCAACATAGTAACAAATAGATAGTCAATATAATTGATTAGATTTACACAGAGGGTGTTTGCCTAAGCTTATAAGCTGGTTAAACTGCCTTATAAGCACTTTTTAGCTTATCTACGCGTTTGGTAAAATTAAAAGTCCTTATAAGTTAAGTGCTTATAAGCCAAAAATAAGCCAAAAGCCATAAGTTGGTCTTCATCTGCTTATTGTTTATTTCAGGACTTTTATCCAAACATGTAACTGCTTATTTTTTAAATCAGCTTCAGCACTTAAGCACTTAAAAGTGCTTTTCAGCACCTAATGTTTATCGGCTAGTCTAAATCAGCTAAGCCAAACGGGCTCTTACACAGTTAAAGACCAAGCTTTTACTCAAAATTTGGAGTTGCTGTAACTTTGGAACTCAATTTTCCAAGAAACTGGGATAATAGCAACAACATTGGATTCCTAGGGAGGAAATAAAATATAGAGACAAAAAGGGTGAGAATGGGAATGAAGAAAAGAATGCAAACCGGAAGAATAACAGCAGGGCGAATGGTGGAAGAAGTGGTTGTTGTTGGCAAGTCAGTAGCTTGAGAAATAGCAGAGCAGCGTTTTGGAGTAGCATTAATGAATGTGTAAGGTGAAATGGAAGGTGACCATGTTACAGCCATAGCCATCTTCCCCCATTTGGCTTCTTCAGCCCACAAACGTTTTAACCGCTTTATTTGTGGTCCTCATTTTCCCACGGTTGTTTCTTGCTTCAAACTTGATAGGCCTGTGAGTCTGTTATATTATACATACTACTACTTCAATTATAGTATATCTGAGTTTAACTTATGTGCACACACAAGATGACCCCATCAAATTAAACTCACACGCAACAACATAGAGTAATTGTGTATTGTCAGCCTAATTGTCTAATTTAGACAATAAAGTAAATGATGTAACTTTTTTTATATATTACTAATGTATAATGTTGGATTATATATCGCAGCTGAACCAATCACAATATCTTATTCACGTGTGAATTAAACAATTAGCATATACGAATGTTGTAGGGTTACCTCTTGAAACTTGAACAAAGCAAATCGATATCCTTCTCCAGTTTCAGAATTGCAAGACCTCAGCAACCTTCCACGGTCTTATATATAACTACGTTTTTTAGGTTAAAACCCTTTTCCAAAACCTGTTACGTTTTCTTCTTCCACTAAGGAAATATTTCCTTTTATTTCCTATTATTTAGGCACAGTAGGGACCACAGAATTTAATTAACAAGACTTACTATTATGGAATTAATTTCGAAATTTTGAAATTAATTTCTACCATAATAAATTACGAATTATTCTACTAAAAATTCGTAATTGCACTCCTTAGTTCAATTTCAAAATTCTTCCATAAAACCTTATTTAACTCCCCATGTTAAGATTCAAATACTAACCAATCAAATTAAATTACTGACAATTTAATTTATTGATTACTTCCTTTAGACTTTCACTTAACTTATTTCATATGTCGGATACAAAATTCACCGGCCGGGTTTACACATGAAAACTTATAAG